AAAAAAAAAGATTTTATTTGTTTGAGAGAATGTGTGCACGAGCGGGGGGAGGGGCAGAGAGAGAGTCTCAAGCAGACTCCACACTGAGTGTGGACCCGAACACAGGGGTCGATCCCATCACCCCAAGACCATGCCCTGAGCCAAAATGAAGAGTCAGGTGCTCAACCAACTGAGCCACCCAGGCACCCTAGAAAGTATTTTATAAGGATACCTTATGTAGGATATTACACAAAAGGAATGATATATCTGTAGTAATTAAATACCAGCAAAAATGTTAAATATATGGAAATATATTAAAGCAGGGAGGATATTCAGGAGTTGTTAAAAGTTTAAGAAGTTGGGGAACACAGCATGGTTCCTGCTTAAATGAGGAGCAAGGAGGCAGGTTTAGAAAAAGGAGTAAGTTGGATAGCCATTAACTAGATAAGGTAATCTGCTGGAGGTTGAAAAAGTCAGTGGTAAATTAGGATAGGCTCTCCCAGACAAGATCTGACAATCATGCTTCCAAAGCAGCATTAGATCCAGCTTTTCAACCTTAGGAAATCAGGGGGTAGCTTAGAGAACAGGAAAGATGAGGGTATAGGAGTCTTATCTCTTGGCTACCAGTATTTCCCCCATGATGTCCTGAAAAGTATTTCTTATATTTGCCTTCTAACTGTATCACAAAACTGCCTAAGCTAGAAATGGCTTTAGCCAAGAGAATAGGTCTTTATTCTACACTTTAAAAGGAAAATGTATTTTTAGGTCATCCTCCAGAATGGATGAGTTTTAAAATTCAATTAATCAGTAAATACTACCTACTTCCCAACTGGCACAAGAATATAGTACAACAGCAAGAAAATAATGAATTCCTAAGATTGAGGCTTGAAGTTCAGAAAAACACTGACAAAAAGAAAATTTTAGGGACTCAGAAGTTGAAATTCAAAGACTCTGGAATTTTGCATATGATTTATTAGGCTTCAACTGAGGATCAGAAATGATAAAGACAATGACTGTGGTCAGTAATGGGTATTTACTGACAGCTATGTACCCCATTTCTAGTGCTTTACATTATTTAATTCTTACAGCAATTGTGTAAGACAGGTAAGTAATACTAAATGTGAATTTTACCAAGATAAAAATCTGAGAGATTACTAAGTAAACTGGTCAAGATCAGAGCTAGTGAGTAATAAAGATGGAATTCAAAACCACTCTGTCAACCTTCAGAATCCAGTCTCTTAATGGTTATTTATATTGCTATGATCAAATGTGTTGTCATAATGCTATGAGGAAACAACTCTCTGCTACCTAGCATAATTTATCAGGTCTTTTAGGAAAAAAAGGTGTTTTCTAAGTTTCCTTGATTGAGGATGTCCATATAAGCAGAGCAGAAGACTGCTAAGTACTCAGAGGCATATAAAACTTACTGGTTAGTAGAAGAGAGCCCACTAGTGAATTTTTTTCCTCAATAATTTTTATTTTTTAATTACTTATTTTTTTTAAAGATTTTATTTATTTATTTGACAGAAAGAGACACAGTGAGAGAGGGAACAGAAGCAGGGGGAGTGGGAGAGGAAGAAGCAGGCTTCCCGCGGAGCAGGGAGCCTGATGCGGGGCTCGATCCCAGGACCCTGGGATCATGACCTGAGCCGAAGGCAGATGCTTAAGCGACTGAGCCATCCAGGCGCCCCCTCAATAATTTTTATTAAAATGTATTTTGGATATATTGAGTTAAACGAAAATATTGAAATCAATTTCACCCATTTCTTTTAAAAAGTGAAAGAATTTACAATTACATACGTGGTTTACATTATATTTCTGTTAAATGATGCTGTTTTAGATCTTTTCCTATACATTTTAAAAGAACAGATATATTCATGTCTGTAAAAGCATGGATACACAGTAATAGGAGCTTTTCTCTCACAGAAGTGAGATCAGCTTCCTTTTTTCCTCCCTAATAAATCATCTGTAAATACATGTGTAATACATTTTGCAAAGACTACATGTAAAATGACCTCATTTTTTTTAAAGGTTTTTTTAAATTAAAGATATTTATTTATTTGAGAGAGAGAGAGAGAGAGAAAGCATGAGTAGGGGGAGGGCCAAGGGGGAGGGAGAAGCAGATTGCCTGCTGAGCAAGGAGCCCAATGCGGAGCCTGATCCCAGAACCCTGGGATCATGACCTGAGCTGAAGGCAGACGTTTAACTGACTGAGCCACCCAGGTGCCCCGACCTCATTTTTTTTTAATGTCCATGTTGATTTCCATGATATGGATATGTATAAGTCATACATCTAATTCCCTACTGATGAAACACTGAGGTTATTTTTATATTCATTTGCTTTTTCAGACAACGCTACAAGAACATGCTTGTACTACCTCACGCTTTGGAGTCTCAATTCCTAGAAGAGGAAAGCCTGGTCAAAAGGTGTGAGTGACAAAAATGGTAACAGTTGAGGGATCAGATTCTTGAAGCCTTCTTAGGCAAGGCTAAATAAGGGACGTGAAATTTATCCTGAAGTCACTAGGAGGCCATAAAAAGACTTGTTTTTCCCCCCTAAGTTGTTAACTGTAGTTTTCGCTCATTATAAAATATTCTCTAAGCACATTACAGACAATTAGGGAGGGAAAAAAAGAAGGAAAAAAACACTACTATAATCTCATTACCCAAATACCACCACTTCAGGATTTCCTTCTCATCTTTTTGGTGTATGTTTTTATTTGTGCTAAATTGTAATTATAGTCCACATTGATATTAGCATTTAATGCACCTGCACAAGCATTTTTCCATGTACTGCTGAGTTTTCATAGCCAGTTTACTTAGTCAGTCCCTTTGCCAGACACCAAGGCCTTTTGCAATTATGTCTGAGTAGCTCAGATAATGCCACTCTCTGTGGCTTCATAGTGCCTTCTCTGTGGATGCTTTCTAGTCACCATTCAACCAAGCTCAGGAGTCTGTGTTCTTGTGTTGTGAACTGTTCAGGACGACTCTCTGGGGGCAACACAGGAAGTAAATGGAAGCAGGGAGGGAGCTGATGGAATGGTCTTGCTGAGAGATGAACAGGCCAGGATCCCAAGTGAGGATCTTTGTACCAGTTACTAAAGCTTTTTGGGTCTCCATTTCCTCATCTCGAGAAGCACCTTCCTGGTGGACCAGAGCATGGTGCACTGTATGTTCGTTGCCCATGTGGCAAAAGGCCCCCTTATGTTAGTTCACAGAAAGCTAAAAGGGTGCTGTCAAACCGTGAACTAAACATACTACTCTGTTAAGCCAAGAAGTTTCCACTCACAAGCATGTTCAATAAATAGCAGGTATCTACTTTATAAAGAGATCATTTGGGATATGGGAGAGCACAAGTAAGCTAAAATGAAATACCTGACCCTAAGGAGCTTAAAATAATAATCTGTGAAAGGAAGACAAAGGCGGTAAAAGTGGCATGCGATAAAAGCTGAAAAAGCATAATAGCAAGGAGCTGTAAGTTTCAAGGAGAAAATGACATTTCTAGAGCACAAAAGATTCTAGTTGAAGAGAAGTGGATAATGGAAAGGAATGTGTTCACTTCGAAAAGCTTTTCCTAAATTCATTATTCACAATGGCTCTAAGAATGCTTTTCTGGTTAGAGGGTACAGCTAATTACCCTTAAAAGCTAAACTATTACAACTTCATACCACTAGGAAGGCTATAATCAAAAAGACAGTAACAAGTGTTCATGAGAATATGGAGAAATAAGAATTTTCATAAATCGCTGGTAAGAATGCAAAGTGGTATAGCCACTCTGGAAAAAACTTGGCACTTTCTCAAAGGTTAAACACAGACTTACTGTATGACCCAGCAATTCAACCCAATTCCACCCAAGAGAGATGAAAACATATCCAAACAAAAACTTGTACATCAATGTTGGTAGCAGAATTATTCATAATAGCCAAAAAGTAGAAAAACCCCAAATGTCTATCAACTGATAAAGTGTTAAACAAAATGTGGAATATCCATATAGTGGAATATTTTTCAGCCATAAACAAGAATAAAGTACTAATGCATGCTCAACATGGATGGACCTCGAAGACATTATGCTAAGTGGAGAGAACAGGCACAAAAGGCCACATATTGCAGGATTTTTTTTTTATGAAATCTCCAGAATAAGCAAAACCATAGAGGCAGAAAGCAGATTTGTAGTTGCCAGGATCTGGAAGACGGGGGAAATACGAAGTGACTGCTAATTGGTATGAGGTTTCTTTTGGGGGTGATGGAAATGCTCTGGAATTGGACAGTGGTATGGTTGCAGTCATCTGTGAATATGTTACAAACCACTGAATTGTACACTTTAAAAGGGTGAATCTAATGCTACATGAATTATATTACATTAAAAAAACTGTGAAGAAAACCCATCAAATACCAAATTATAATAAAATGATTTTTATCTTATCTTGCTGATACGAATTGATGGGTTTCCTTAAAAGATAGGTAGATATTTCCCTGTTTTAGCTGATGAAACCAATAGGAAAGGAAAATAAAAAAAACACATATTCATTAATTTAGTGACATACATAGAATTTTATGATAAAAAAATAAGTTTCTGCCATACCTGTGCTTTTTTTTCACAAAGCGTATACACAGTTTCCAAATTCGGATCATTGTGAAGTGGATGAGAATACATTCTATGCTCAAAAGCCTCCACTTTCTGGATAACTTTTTTCAGCCCTTGATCTTGAATGCCCATATCATCAATAGGATCTAATAAAGGAACACCATCAGGAAAACGTTTCTGAACTTCCTAAAACAAAAAATTTAAAATTAATGTTTTCATTTTATAGACAAGATTAGTTAAGACTAAATAAATATTTCCTTCTATGTTTTTCTATGCACAAAGACAGAAACATGCCCTTAAAAACACTTAAATTGGAGCACAATTTTTCATTGCGTATGTTTTGAAAATTCCTTCTGAATTGCTGTACTATGATTTATTGATACAGGGATGTGTTAAATTAATAATTCTAGTATTTAGAATTCAATAGTTCTGAATGTGGCACAACTTATTGATAAGCACATTATTATATATTTAGGTTGTTGTAACATCTTACTGTTATAAGTAATCCTGTGTTAAACAACCCAAGTGTAAACCGTTTTCAATTTTCTCATGATTTCCTTGGGGCTGATTCCTAGGGGTGCACTACTGAATGGAAAGACATAAATTTTCTAAAGGGTTCCAGATCCCTGTCAATTTTTTTTTTACATGATTTAACTGTTAAATATAATAAGCATGTGAGTTCAGAGAAAGGACAGCTCACTGTAGGCTGGTATCCCCCTGGGAGACTTTCAGGGTCTTGAATAGGCCTTAAAGGTAAAATACGATTTGGTGAGTTAGGGATTTAAAAAAAAAAAAAAAAAAAGGTTATCCACATAAAGATTCTGTAAAGCTGTCAAGAGAATTCTTCAATTCAGGAAGCCTACCTATGGATCACAGCTTATTCCTACTCTAATGAAAGCATCCTGTTTATCTATCTTTGTTTTCTCAAATTCTAGTATAGAGCCTTTGCCACATAGTAAATACTAATCCAAGTATTTATTGACTAAATAAATGACAAAATTCCTTTTTTCTTCCCCTACTGGAAAATAAAATTCTAGAATGTCATAATCTTTCCTACTGAAAGTAAAACTATTTCATTAATTTATTAACTACACTAAAAACTGGTTAAAAATCCTAGCATGTGATTTTATACATAAAATTTTTAATACAGTCTAGTTATTTTCACTCAACAAATAATAAAGCAAAATATATTTTGCATATAATAGCAGCCATGCTTTCCTCTGTGAAATCTCCTTTGGTAACTCACTTTGTTGGTATATTCACAAGGAGTGGACAATCTACACAAAGATTTGTTATTATTTTTTACTAAAAAGAACTGCCACTGATGGCAGTGTTTATACTTTTGAAAGAAAGCAATACATTTTAAAGCATTTAAGTTGTCTTGCTATAAATCCTATTTATATTCACATAAAATTTATATTTAAATTTATAAAATTAACACATGTACCTGTATTGATTTTAAAACACTCTGTCTATTATCCACTGGTCGAAGGTCTTTAGGAATGTAAAGCCTAACACTGCTGATGGCAGACAAGAGGTGCACCAAAACTGGAACAACCTGCCAAGAAAAAGTTAAAGAACACCACAATTAAAACTGCACATTTTCGGGGCGCCTGGGTGGCTCAGTTGGTGGGGCGACTGCCTTCGGCTCGGGTCGTGGTCCTGGAGTCCCGGGATCGAGTCCCGCATCGGGCTCCCTGCTTGGCAGGGAACCTGCTTCTCCCTCTGACCCTCCTCCATCTCGTGCTCTCTCTCTCTGTCTCATTCTCTCTCTCAAATAAATAAATAAAATCTTTAAAAAAAAAAAAAACTGCACATTTTCAAACTCTGCCATTTCCTAAATTTAGCGTGAATCCTTAAAATGAAGCTGCATTTACAGTTTGTGACACACTTAATAGTTGATAATAATCACTGTGGAAGCTTGTATCTTATTAGAAGTTATATTCCAAAAGTAAACACTAATTCAACCTCTAAGTAACAGGCAAATAAATGGTACCTAAACATAAGTTATTCCCGCAATAACAGAATTCATTTTCATGTCCTCATTTATTGGCACTTTTTGAATACCTTAAAGTACAAGAGCACTACAAAGGAAGGAAAGACTCCTGGTTTAGTTCTAGATAGCCAAGTAAGTTTCATGTAAGCTCTGGATGAGCCAGAAGGAAGGGTGGATGAAAAGAAGTATTTCAACCAGAGGAAATAGTATACTCCGTAAGACATAATAAAGAATCACCTATCTTCAAACTAACTTTCATGCTTTCTCCTGACAAGAATACCCTTCCCTCACCATCAACCATGACATTTTGCTTCCTTTAAGTATGGTTCCTTTAAATTTAGAGGGCATCTGTACACTGAGAAGTTAACACTTTCAAAGGTCCAAATTCATCTGTCTATTGGTCTCTCATGGTTACCTTTAGTGCGATCACTACTGAAAAAACAACTGTCACTGGCTTGCTGGTAACAAATACATTCCTAGTGTTTTATTGAACAAAATGGTATAGCAGCTGAGCAGTTTCTAGAGTCACGGCTGCCCGGGTTTGATTTCAGTCTTCTGCTAGTTTTGTGACTTTGAGGAAGTCTCCTCATCTTTTTAATTCATTCTCCCCATTTTAAAAATGGAGATAAAATTATATCTATCTTATTAAACTGTTTTGAGAATTAAATGAAACAATGCATGTAAAATACTTTAAAATAGTGCCTTAACACCTTCAAAAAATGTTCTTGTGTATAATAGCAAATGTAAGTGTCAACAGATCTGTATATACCAAAACTAAAATATTAACACAGATCATACTCAATAACCAAAGAGAAAAGGTATTTGTTAAGTGTTGAGAAATGAAAAAGAGGAATGAAAAAATAGAGAAAGCCATTTAAAGGAGACAATTACAACTTTGAAAATGACCAAAAAAGTAATACAACAAACTATCCATTTTATTTTCTCAATTGTTAATACCTTGCCATATGTGCGTTTTTCTCTTTCCAGATAAGATTTTGGGGTTTTTGGAGGGAGTGTTTTTCTTTCTTTCTGCCTTCCTTGTTCCTCCTCTCATTTTAACCATTTGAAATTAACATGCCGATAACATGTCACTTTACCTTACCAGCAAATACATCAACATGTATCTTCTAAGAACAAGCACATTCTCCTGCACAACCACATTATATCATAAAAATTTAACAATGATACATTATCATCTACTATACAGTTCATATTCAAATTTCCCCGACTGGTTCCCTAATGTCCTTTATAGCTACTACTAGCGCCACTACCACTTTCAGATCTAGGATCCAGCCAAGGGTCGTTTATTGCATTTAGCAGTCAGGTCTCTTTAACCTTTTTAAATCCAGAATACTTTTGTTTTTATGGGATTGACATTTTCATATAATTTCAAAGTTAAAAGTTATTAGAACAAAGAGCTCCGGGATACCTTTATTCAGATTCACCAATTATTTACATTTGCCCCATGTGCTTTTAACATTCTCTCTCCACACATACAAACCACATCCACAGTACAAGTATTAAAAGAGGGAAATTTAATGTTGATACAATGATATTATCTACAGTCCGTATTAAAATTTCACCTACTTCTCCAATGTCTTATACCACCCTCCTTCTCTCCCACCACTCCATGCATCCAAAGCAGGATGATGAATTAAATTTAGTTGTCCTAATTTTTTTTAAAAGATTTTATTTATTTATTTGACAGAGAGAGACACAGCGAGAGGGAACACAAGCAGGGGGACTGGGAGAGGGAGAAGCAGGCTTCCCGCTGAGCAGGGAGCCCGATGCGGGGCTCGATCCCAGGACCCTGGGACCATGACCTGAGCCCAAGGCAGACGCTTAACTACTGAGCCACCCAGGTGCCCCTAGTTGTCATAAATCTTTATTCTACTTTAATCTGGGACAGTTCCTCAGTTTTTCTGTGCTGCTCAGGATACTGATGTTTTTGAATTAGTTAGTTATTTTGTAGAATGCCTCTGAATTTGAGTTTGTCTCGTTATAAGGAATCATCGGATTCAAGGATGCATTTTTGGCAGAGACGATGTTTTTTTGTTCTTCCCGTCCATTGATCAACATTACTGGTGATACTAACTCTTATCACTCAATTCAGGTGGTTATTGCTAGCATTCTCTACTGTAAACTTACTACTTCCCCCTTTACAATTAATAAGAAACTTATGCGGAGATTCATACTTTGTAAATATCCCATTCCTCACTAAACTTTCAACTCACAAGTTTTAGCATCCATGGATTATTCTTGCCTGAGTCCATCTGTGGTAGCTGCCTAACGGTGACTTTTCTAACATATTCATTCTTTTTGTATTTTATCTATCTATCTATCTATCTATCTATCTATCTATCTATCTATCTACTTACCTATCTACCTACTTACCTAAGTATGGATTTGTGCATGCTTACTTTGATTTGATTATAATCCTTTAATATAACTTCTATTCTGAAACTGTCAAATTCGTTTTTAAATAAGACATCATGAGGGCTAAACTGACTTTTGAACCACCAGTTTGTGACCCATGCAAATCCTAGATGCACTGTTTGAATGGAAAGAGAATACTGAAGTGAATGTACATAATCCAAAATGGCAGAAAAACTCAAAATCATTCACCTGGCTTTAGACAGGAAGTATATGCTTTGTGTACTTGAAGTTGAATTCATTTAGCACAAGTATTTGAGAATTTCTTTGAAAACAAAATAAACACCATATAGTGAAGACTTGATTCAGAAGCAAGACAGAAACTGATCAATTTCTAATGCTGTTTCCCATAATAAACACTATCCAAAAATGGTCAACTCTCACATTAATGGCAAGAAAGACACTACAAAAGTCCTCCAACAAATGTCTCCTTAAGTACAAGGAAAGGAAGATTCTACGACTCAAGTTTTGTAAATAAGAAGTTAAATGCTTAAAAACCAACTGAATAGTTCTCATAGAATGGTAAATCTCTACATACAGAGATCTAAAAACATAATATTTGCATAGTGTTCATGCAACTTTCTAACCCTAATAACCTTATAAAGTAACTTACAATTCAGGCTCATCATGACACAAGATTGGTTTATATACATCCAAATAATCATGTGGGTAATTACTACAAACTTGTTAGAATACCAATTAACAGGAATAGACCTTTCAAATCTTTTCAAGTTTGCCATAAATCAATTTCCCCTTTTAAAATAAGCAAATGATAAGGTAGATAGGTAATAGGAGAAGTCAGTAAGTTTAAGTGAATACATTCTAAATAAGTTTCAGGCAATGTCATTTCTTCAAATCAAGGCTATTAACTAAAATATGATTTTTGAACTTTTCATCCAGAAAAGATATTTTCTGGACCAACTACATTTTAATCATATGCAGGCAAAGTTATTTGAGCTGATGTGTTTTATTAAATCTTAGATTTTTAAAACCTAAATGTGTGTCTTGATCTAATTTTCTTTCCAGAACTCTGGAAATTAACCAAAAACTTGCAGCAATCTCAGAAGCATTTAAAAAGCTAAATTTGGTATCAGACACACTCCAAGTTAAAGGAAAGAAAAGGACTATGGAAATCCCACTTCCTCCTCATATCTCATGCAAAGGAAGTCTGGTTCAAATCTACCCAGGCTACATAATAACTGCAGTTGAGAGATGAAATTTCCTTATAAATTGTCTGTGGAATGATATCCCTGTGTCCAGGATTCCTATTCAAGATATTAATTTATAAAAGCGAACAATACATACCTATTCATCTCTTAAGATATAGATAGTCCTTCTCTTTGTTGTATCTTTATCATTCAACCACAAATAACAGAACTTAAAGAGTTCTTTTTAAAAAAGGGACATTTCGAGGTGCCAGGGTGGCTGAGTTTGTTGGGTGTCTGACTCTTGGTTTTGGCTCAGGTCATGATCTCAGGGTCCTGAGATCAAGCACCGTGGCGGGCTCCACACTCAGCAGGGAGTCTGCTTGAGATTCTCCTTCCCTCTGCCCCTCCCCCCAATTTTTTTTTTCTCTCTCTCTCAAATAAATACATGAATCTTTAAAAAACAAAAACAAAAAAAAAGGGATGTTTCATGCTCTGTGCATGTTGCTTCCATTGTTGGGAACACAATTCTTGTCTGAAAATATTTCTACAAGTCAGGTGAATTTCTCAATACTTCTTTTATAAAACCTTTACTGATCTCCCCCCCTCAAACACACTCTACCCCAGTTAGAGGATGCATTTTTGATATTCCCCAACTGGAGCACAAACTATTCCCCCCATTAAGCTGTAAACCCCTTGAAACCAGAGATGATATGATATATATACTTCATGCTAACACACCTCCCTTAATTCCCTGAAATAAGCTAAATAAAAAATGTTAAACATCAATTATACCTCAATTTAAAAAATGCTACAGAAGACACAGTTTGTGTAGGATCCAGTGACGTCTACACTCCAGAGGCTATTAAACTGAGACAAATCTGATTATTAAGTACTACAAAGCTTCTTAGTATCTTTAAGTAAAATGGGCACAGCTGCTAGGCTTAATAAAATCTGGGCCTAAAAGCGAGACAGACAACAAAC